GGGTCGCGCCAGATCGAGACGGGTATCGGGAGGGCAAGTGTTTCTTCCGGCTCTTTCCTTTGGGCCCCGGAGTGAGAGAGTGTAACGTCCGGATCAATGGGGTGAAGCGCAGGTTTCGGACGCGGTGGAGTCTTTAGCGCGTGTCCCGTGACTCGCTCAGGCGCGCCGAAGGCAGTCCTGGGTCCTCGTGGCCAGCCAAGATGGCTGCCCCCGCAGCGAGGGCTGCGCGAGAGTGGTCGGGCCTGCTGCTGCGCGTGCGGCGCCCTGACTTGCGGCTTCCAGGGTGAGAGGGCGGTGGGCGGCTGGGGGCGCCGCTTGAGTCTGCACCGAGGGCTCTGCGAGGAGGGAAGGGGAACACAGGCAGGCCGCCTTGGGCCCTGGAAAGAGCACTGCCCTGGGGAGCCGAGATGTCTGGAGTCAGGCGTTTTATCCAGCTGCGTGACCCCGGGCCTTTCGGAAGGCTTAGTGACTACCCTTCGCCTAAGGGATCTGGCTGATCTAAGCTTCTAACTCGGAGCTGAAAGTGCGGCCTTACTCGCAGCTGGGAGGCGGAGAGGAGAGGTGTAGAGGGGAGCCTATCCTTACCGTTGGCACTTGCCAGGGAGGACACTTCCCTGACCTGTTTGAAGGAGGTTCCCTTACTTCCCGGAACGAGAGCCGAAATTATTGCCGTTCAGATTTAGCTAGCGGTCTCTGCGCCTCTCTCCCTCGTTGGCGGGTGGGCAAACGTGCCTATTGTTAAGTCAGGCTTATTCATTTGTGGAGTCAGCTTTTACCTGACTCCTTCTCTCCCCAGGCTAACTCAGGTGAGGTGGAGCCGCTATGGTCCTGAATACAGGGATCCCCAGACTGACAAGAAACATTACCGCAAGCCTGTGGCCGAGCTAACGGAGGAGGAGAAGTATGATCGGGAGCTCAAGAAGACTCAGCTCATCAAAGCTGCTCCAGCGACGACAACAAGCTCTGTCTTTGAAGACCCAGTGATCAGGTTAGAATTCTTGCTCCGTGGCCTGGGACTATTCCAGGGAGGGTCTATGGTAAGGATTCTGTGATTCGGCCTTGGAAAGCTAAACGTGTTGCTTTTCTCCTTGAAGTAAATTCACCAATATGATGATGAAAGGAGGAAACAAAGTCCTGGCTAGATCCCTTATGACACAAGTAAGCAGTACTTCTCTTCCCCTTCTTTCTTGTCCTTGTAGCTCTGTTCTTGTTTTTTTCACTGCAGCTTAAGAGAAAATGGATTCATACACCTATTACTAAAATTAACTTCCCTGAATGTGTGGAGGCTTTAATGAAGTCCTGCAGGAGTCAACAACTGCTCTTCTCCCCAACATCGCAAATCGCAATCCACTCTGTACTAGGCTAGCAAAGGGGGAGGCACTTAAAAACTTTGTCTTGGATGTGCTGAGGGAGGGTCTGCACTGCCATTACAGAACTGGATGATGGGGTAGAGGGCAGGGTACTAGCTGGCTTGGGTAAACTCTTCAGGGAGCCTGGGGCAGCCTCTTCCACTGTATTCCTTTGCAGACTCTGGAAGCCGTGAAAAGGAAACAGTTTGAGAAGTACCATGCTGCTTCTGCAGAGGAACAGGCAACCATCGAACGTAACCCATACACCATCTTCCATCAAGCACTGAAAAACTGTGAGCCTGTGATTGGGCTGGTACCTATCCTCAAGGGTGGCCGTTTTTACCAGGTGAATGGTCAGGGCAAGAAAGCAGGGTTGCCTGCATGTGAAACAAGATGAGAGGTGCTTGGGAATGGGAGATCCCAGAGTTGGGCCGAGATTGAGAGCTCTCTAGAGACCGGGGACTGTCAGGACCTGCTCATCTGAGTCCTGTAGGGTAAAAATCACAGGCAGAAGATAGAAAAGGAACAGAGTGAAAAAGCATCTAAGTGACATCTTCTGGGAGCCCGCCTCACCTCCCCTTCTTCTGTCCAGCAATCCTGTTTGTCCTAAACTTCTCATGATGAGAAACTTTGTTTATATCTCATCTTTATTTTTATTTTTTTGAGTTGGAGTCTCACTCTGTTGCCCAGACTGGAGTGCAGTGGCCGCTCCCGGCCACCGCAGCCTCGACCTGCTGGGCTCCGGCGATCCTTCCACCTCAGCCTTTCCAAGTAGCCGGAATTAAAGGCATGCGCTACCACACCCGGCTGATTTTTTTATTTATTGTAGAGATGAGGTCTCGCCTGCCCAGGCAGGTCTCGAACCTGCGGGCTCAGGCAATCCACTCACCTCAGCCTCCCAAAGGCGCGGGATTACAAGCTGAGCCACCGAGCCCGGCTTATATCCCATCTTTATAAATCAGTTTCTAGCATTGTGTTTGACCCATATTGATGTTTCATTACCATTTGTTGGACTGTACCATTTCATTGCACTTAATTATATTTCATTGTCATAAGTGGGTCTTCTTGTTTTCACCTTTTTCAATATAAGCATCATAAAGGTAGGGACTTTTTATTTTTATTTTTTTTGAGTTGGAGTCTCATTCTGTAGCCCAGGCTAGAGTGCAGTGGCACACTCACGGCCACTGCAGCCTCGATCTGCGGGGCTCAGGTAATCCTTCCACCTCAGCCTTCCGTATAGCTGGAACCACAGGCATACGCCACTATGCCTGGGTGATTTTTTCTGGTTTATTGTAGAAACGAGGTCTTGCCATGTTGCCCAGGCTGGTCTCAAACCCCCTAGCTTGGGCAATCCTCTCACCTCTGCCTCCCAAAGTGCTGGGATTACAGATGTGAGCCACTGTGCCTGGCTGGGATTTTCTCATTAAACTCTGTCTCTCACTGGGCGTGGTGGCTTATACCTGTAATCCCAGCACTTTGGGAGGCAGAGGTGAGACGATTG